CCTATTTGGAGGTTCACGGCGCCATAGCCCGATGAACAGGCTGTGTGTGAAATATAACAAAGTCTAGGACTGCTTTTAGTGTAAACACCAAAAACACAGATGCAAACCCCCCACACACACACATATGCCCCCACACACACACACACACGCACATGTAAACCCCACACACACAGATGCAAACCCCCCCACACACACACACACATGTGCCCCCCACACACACACACACACACGCACATGTAAACCCCACACAAGATGCAAACCCCCCACACACACACACATGCCCCATACAAAACCTTTTATTTCAGTTCCTTGTACTCAACAATGAGGTCGCCCTCCCTCCAGTGCCCCCCCCGGAGCTCTGAGCGTCGACCCCTTTGAAGCCAATCTTCTTATCATCACAAATTCCTGCACCTCATAAAACACACACAACACACACACACACACACACACACACACACACACACACTTATAACACGATTCATTATCATCCACACATCACAAGCCTCTTCCTCCCCTCCCTTCCATGTATCTCTCTCTCTCTCTCTCTCTCTCTCTCCTCTTCTCTCCCACCTCATTATCCCCCTCCTTACACTCACCTCTTCTTCAACTTATAATCCTTTCCTCTTACACCTCTTCCTCATCCTCTTCTTCTACTCTCCTCCTCCTTTAACATCTTCCTAATGCAAATAATTCATCTTTTCCTCCTCCTCCTCCTTCCTTCCCTCCACTAGCTGGCCTGTCAACCTCCCCTGCCCCCAACACCATGTTCATGCCAGTTAAAGAGACAAAAACGATTACACACACGCGACATTTTAAGCCTTGACCTACAAAGGCTGACTTCATCGTAGGTCTATACTAGTGAGTACTATTTGGGTACTGGCATCCCTCCCTCGCCTACTGTCACGCCCTCCCCCATCCCCCACAGCCTCCCTCCCCATTCCCCCTCACCCCCACATTCTTCCTACTCTCCTCTTTACCCTCCTGCCCTAGTGTGAGATTGAGGAAGGGAAAAAATACGAAGGAAAAAACCGTGAGTCGTTTATGAGTACTCGGAGGGGAGTGTGTAGGTCAAGGTCTGGTTTAGTGATGGCTGGGCAGGTTTACGATGGCGTTTGAAAAGTAGGTTTGTGGGTGTGTCGTCTTGTGGCCTACTGACTCACTCACTTACGCACTTACTTATGCACTTACACACTCAGTACCATACGCCCTTCCTCCCTCACATTGTCACACACACACACCACACACCTCACACCCTCCTTCTCTCACGCACTCACACAGAACACAACAACACACTCTTTACATCATCCTACGATAACTTGTTTTGTTTTGATGTGAAAGTTGTTTAAGTAAGTGTCAAGACGATGTTGATAATTATGAAACAGCCGTTGATGTTATGATGTTACTGTGCTTCGTTACAACACCGTGTCCACCACCTATACCGTGTCCACCACCCATACCTGTCCACCACCACCAACAACACCGTGTCCACCACCACCAACAACACCGTGTCCACCACCACCACCAACACCGTGTCCACCACACCACCAACGTCCACCACCACCAACGTGTCCACCACCACCACCAACGTGTCCACCACCAACACCGTGTCCAACACCACCACCAACACCGTGTCCACCACCACCAACAACACCGTGTCTACCACCAACACCGTGTCCACCACCCAGTGTAACACAACAGGGTCTTATGGAACACGGTAAATACTGCCACACCTTCTAGGAGTGTCTTGGCTAGTGCAAACTAGTCCCACCACACCGCCAAGGCACTCAACCACACCCTCCACCCACCACCCCACCCCACACACCCACCACACCCACCACATCCCACCCACCACACCCACCTACCACACTCCACCACACCCCACCCACCACATCCCACCTACCACACCCCACCCACCACACTCCACCTACCACACCCACCACATCCCACCCACCACACCCCACCTACCACACCCACACCTACCACACCCACCTACACACCCCACCTACCACACCCCACCACCACACCCACCCACACCCCACCTCCAACCACACCCCACCTACCACACCCCACCTACCACATCCCACCCACCACACCCCACCTACCACACTCCACCCACCACACCCACCACATCCCACCCACCACACCCCACCCCACACCCCACCCACCACACCCACCCACCACATCCCACCCACACCCCACCCACCACACCCACACCACACCCCACCCACCACACCCACCCACCACACCCCACCCACCACACCCCACCCCACACCCACCACCACACACCCCACCACACCCACCCACCACACCCCACCCACCACCACCCACCACCCACCTACCACACCCACCCACCACACCCACCTACCACACCCCCATACCACACCCCACATACCACACCCCACCCACACACCCCACCTACCACACCCACCCACCACACCCCACCCACCACACCCACCACACCCACCCACCACACCCACCCACCACACCCACCTACCACACCCCACCCACCACACCCCACATACCACACCCCACCTACCACACCCCACCCACCACACCCCACATACCACACCCACCCACCACACCCCACTACCACACCCCACCCACCACACCTCCACCACACCCCACCTACCACACCCCACCCACCACACCCACCCACCACCCACCCACCACACTCCACCACCACACCCCACCTACCACACCCCACCTACCACACCCCACACCACACCCCACCTACCACACCCCACCTACCACACCCCACCTACCACACCCACCCACCACACCCCACCCACCACACCCCACCCACCACACCCCACCCACCACACCCCACCCACCACACCCCACCCACCACACCCCACCTACCACCCACCACACCCACCTACCACACTCCACCTACCACACCCCACCACCACACTCCACCTACCACACTCCACAGGGCTTAGATAATGACTACTGCTCCTTTACCTGGTCACGGTCAGATTATCCTAATTAAGCTCAGGTGTTCCTAAAGGTTCAATTATCGCTTAAATGGTCTGAAATACGTCTACGGTTTGGTAGGTTAGAAGACTCTTATTGGTGTATACTATTCATGTAAGTATTAATCTGACATACATACATACACATACAAACCCCTCCTACACACACACACACACACACACACACACACACACACACACAAACACACTCCATCATTCAAATCTAACAATAAAGCTGTTTTTCCCCAGTACAATATAATAATCAAGTAGTAATAATACACAGGAAGATACAACACCTGGTTCATCCTGGGAAAGAAAGGATATAGACCATCAGTTTTGAGCTTCCTTGATTGAATTCTGTCCTCTTGTTGTTGGTAATATAATCTGGCTCAGTGTTATCATACATACATACATACATACAAACAACCCCCCCCACACTACACACACACACACACACACACACACACACACACACACACACACACACAGGCATATGGTACCCCGACATGACCAACATTCGGTGTCGCCTGGGAGAACATTCTCGACCAACACCCCCTGACGCTGTGTCCACCTATTTAGTACCTGTGTGTGTGTGTGTGTGTGTGTGTGTGTGTGTGTGTGTGTGTGTGTGTGTGTTCCTCTATTGTGACTCATTATTGACATACCTAAATCATTCCTGCTTGTGTGTGTGTGTGTGTGTGTGTGTGTGTGTGTGTGTGTGTGTGTGTGTGTGTGTGTGTGTGTACTATACACTGGACACATACATACATCAATTGTCTTTCTACTAATATAAGACATCTGACATTCATGTGAGTTAATGTAATGAGTTCACCTGCATCAACACCTCAACAGTTAATTAAAGGTAACACATCCTCACACAACTCACCTCACTTCTTTCACTACCCCTCACACCCCAGACCCTCTCACTACACCTCACCACCTCACACTTTCACTACCTCATACCCCACCCCTCTTTTAGCGGCGATGTGATACACTTTTAGACGACGCTTAAGGAAAAAGTGTGATGGTGTGATGGTAAGTGAAGATAACAGAAAATAATACAAAACACGAAATGTCTAGTGTGAGTGAGGTGTTGTGTGAGGTGTGAGTGTGTTGTGTGATGTGTGAGTGTGTTGTTCATGTGAGTGTGTTGTGTGAGTGTGTTGTGTGGGTGTGATGTGTGAGTGTGTTGTTCATGTGAGTGTGTTGTGTGAGTGTGTTGTGTGGGTGTGATGTGTGAGTGTGTTGTTCATGTGAGTGTGTTGTATCCCTTGTTATACAGGGGATAATATGCCTTGTTGACAGTACTATAGGAGATAAGAACATAAGAATGGGGGAAACTACAGCGGGCCTATTGACCCATACTGGGCAGTCCCATTTACACTCAACCCCTATTGCTCATATATCCATCCAACCTATGTTTGAAGCTATCCAGCGTATTCGAGTTAATGATGATATTTGGTAACTTGTTCCACTCGTCCACTACTCTATTTCCAAACCAATGTTCACCTATTTCGGGCCTAAATCTAAATTTGTCTAATTTAAAACCATTGTTACGAGTTCGCTCCTGGTTGGATAGTTTGAGTACCTTTGTAATGTCACTTTCTTTAGCCCTGACTTCCATTTATACACCTCGATCATGTCGCCCCTCGCTCTACGTCTCTCGAGGGAGTGCAAATTAAGAAGCTTTAGCTTGTCTCTGTACTCAAGGTTCCTAATGCATAATCCAAGTGAGGTCTCACAAGCGCAAGGTACAGTTTTAGGATGACCTCGCTCGTCTTGTAACTAACACTCCTTTGTATGAACCCAAGTACTTTATTAGCCTTGTTACGAGCAAATACACATTGTTTACTTGGCTTAAGATTCCTACTTATCATTACTCCTAAATCTTTCTCACAGTCGGATTTTTCTATGACATCGTTGTTCATCTGGTTTCTCTAATAGAACTTTGTTGACAGTAAATAGAGCTTTTTGACAGTAGTATAGGAGATAATAGAGTACTATAGGAGGAGATAAGAGAGCACTTACTGATAGTGATGAGGCCGGAGTTAAGCATGGACAGCTGGATGCGGTTGGGAATGGCGGAGAGGGACCTGGAGGAGGCGCTGAGGAACCTCTTCTTCTTGGGCTTCTCATGGCCTCTGTTTTTGGAGCGGCCCTTCCTCCCATCTCCTTTGCTTCCTGACGCAGGTACTGGGTCCTCTCCTACTACGGTAGCATCCACGACGGCGCCTCCCCCAGCAGAGGAGGAGGCGGCGCTGTTGCTGGTAGACATGGCATCTCGATCACGCATCATACCTCCTCAGCTCGGCCGGACACACACTCACACACACTTCCTTCTTCTGCAGTGCTGCACTACTACTACTACTCCACTACCGCACCAGACTGTGGCGGGGTCTCTGTAGGACACATGGACACACACACTACCCACCACCGACACGCAACACAGCTGCCACCACTTCACCTACACTCCTCCGTCGGGCACTCGGGCACGGCCACACTGGGAGGGGACGGCAGGGGGCCACACTCGGAGCACAGGGGTATGGGCACGGCTCTGAGCGCTGCCCCAGAGGTACTGCTCCGCCAGCTTACCGCGCTCCCCACACCTGCGCGGCTAAAACCGTGGCACCACCCGGGGACCACGCCAAGTATGTGCCCACAGCCGCCAGTGGCCGCCCCTGCCCGATACCCAGCACACACCTCACTGTGTTGGAGGCGACACGCTGGCCTGGGGCACCTTACCCATTTACTCTCACCCCTCCCCCCCCTCCCATAGTCACTATTATCACTTGACCCCAAACACACGATTCTCCTTCAACCCCTTCTACAGGTGTCTCCTCTCCCGGGCAAGTGTTTGTACAGAAGTCTTCCTGGCAGCGGTGGCACCTCACACTCACCTCAAGCTGCTTCCTTCATCGTCTTCAGTGTCTCGACAAATACCGGTTCAACGTCCAGTTAATACAAAATATAAACAGTTGTAACGTGGCATCTGTGTCATGTGACTGTCACCCACGTACAGTCATCGCCAGTGTGTGTTGGTCACGTCAGAGGGGTCGTAACTCCGTGTGACCAACAGAAGGTAGGAAATGAAGGGCACGGAACACGGCACGGATGAAGGGGGGGCGGGGGGAGAGGTCACGGACACGGAGGACATCAAGTACGTGGCGTGGATTAAGGCTTCAAAACGTGGGTGACAGTTCAAAGTCACGGTCAGAGTGGAGAACAAGTACACACCACACGGAGACCAGGTATAACACGACCAACGTCTCCAATGGGCACGGAGACGGGACTCAAGGCGTAGATCAGACCCCCAAGAGGGCTAGGTGGGGCAGGTGTGGACGTTGGCCAGCTCACAAACCAGGTCAGCCGTCGTTACCATCAATGGTCGTCACACACCGCCTCGCTCTCCCCGTCCTCCTGCTCCCCGTCCTCCTGCTCCCCGTCCTCTTGCTCCCCGTCCTCCTGCTCCCCGTCCTCCTCACAACTATACAATAGTGTGCTGAGCTTCCCTCCTCTGGGTTTATTTACATAGTGTTGACTTCCTCCCTCACCTTCAGCTTGGGTTGTGGTCAAAGCTTGATAGAAAGATTAAACTTTCTGCTGGTTGTCTACTTGAGCATATCTCTCCCTTACTTAAGGTACATAAGAGGCGGGTGGCAGCTAGTGTAGTGTAGGAGAAAAGTAGGTCACCTCTTCACTACAGTACACACCTTCAATCTACGGTGGTGACTCTCCATAGTTCAGCATCTACCTCACTTTTATACCTGGCCTTATATATTAAAATATTTATATATATACATATATATATATATATATATATACATATATATATATATATATATATATATATATATATATATATATATATATATATATATATATATATATATATATATATATATATATATATATATATATATATATATATACTGTATATGCTGATAACCAAAAGGAAACAAGAAAACACGAAGTTCCCAAGCACTGCATTGACTGGGATAATGCCTCCTCAATATTACCTTGTAATTCAATTGTCAGTAGGAACATTATAGAATCCAGTCTCATTAAACATACCGAATCTGTCAACATGAATTTGAGTAATGGTATGTACAAACTGGATAATTTTGTGATTGAGAAGATTTATAACCAGGTGAGAAGGTTGGGTCATCTTACCCTATGACCTGACTACGGACAGCTGCTGTGCTTAGAGATGGCATGGTCAATTTTTTTTATTAGTAAGGGTCACTGCCTTATGACCGGAACAGTGTGGACACCTGTTGTCCCCTAGGGCCTTGATCTCACACTCCTCTACTGTATATATTAACCTTGTCAAGTACTTCTTAGTCTGTACTCACCCCTCAAGATGTGAATTACACGAATGCGCTTGGGAACTTCGTGTTTTCTTGTTTCCTTGTGGTTATCAGCATATACTTGGATCACGCGCACCCACAGTGATTTACTTGCATATATATATATATATATATATATATATATATATATATATATATATATATATATATATATATATATATATATATATATATATATATATATATATATATATATATATATATATATATATATATATATATATGTATTTATTTATATATATATATTTATTTATTTATTTATTTATAGAAGCCGCTGCATGACTCAGTAACTACTGGTGGGGGCGGGGCGAGGTAGAGGAGACGAATTAATTTGGTGGCTACAAAGGTCTCCCACTGGAGGGGAACTCCCGAAGGTGTATGTGGGAGACCTGACAACTACAGCTAGCCTCCTTCGGCCGCCTCGCGGGAGCACGACCGCTCCCGCCCTTCTCCCAACATCAGAGGAACACCACGAAACACACGCAAAAAAGGATAAAGACAAAGAGGACAAGGGAGAGGACAATGAGGAATATGGTGATAGGCACCATTACCATTCTCGTGACCTCGACGTATATAAAGAGGCCCAGCAGGAGGCCCAGGTGGATCACGCACAAAATTATCCGAAAGTCAGAAGAACCATAAAAGGTTATCGTCTCGTCTCCTGAACCAGCTACAGAAGACACCATAGGAGACCTCCACAGCCGCGTCCTGGACAAGCTCTTCTCACAGCTGACTTGGTACTCCGGCAACTGAACAATGCTCGAGATTTTTGAAACAGGAGTTGTATCTTTAAGTTCCACCTTGACACTTGACAGATTAATGGATACATCAGTCTTCGTCACAATTGTTTCTCTGACGGATGATGAGGACTGAAGTGAGTGCAAGAAGGGGATGGCAGGGCGCGAGTCCTTGCCAGCGGTGAAGGCCTCACAGGGCCACAGCTGGTGCCGCGGAGAGCTGGGGGTGAGGTCAACCTTATGCATCCACCTGCCGCTAGGCTCTTATTGTCTACACAACACAACCTTGCCTCTTCATCAACACAACAACCAGTCTGATCACACACACAGGTGGTCTACGGCTCGTGGCGACACAATGTTAATCTTCTACCTCTACAAAGACCTTGTTAAAAGTCAGATAAACTCATCAATTAAGTTCACATCCCAGACGTCCTTGTAGAGTAGCCTCTGAGCGACACGTGAGGTGTGCCGCCTCCCGTCACAGTGAGGTGAACAACACTCAAGACGACCGTCCCACCATGAGCCACGACGATGAACAAAGTCTCTCCATCCCAGGGTGAGTCAAGGGATTATCTTAATAACTTATCTTAATAACTTTCTTCAGTCATTATTCACTCACTTGTTATCTTTACTCATAACTGGAAAAAAGAAATGACAAAAAATACCCAACATACAATACCTTTTTCTCTTAATTTCACGAAAGTTTTTATCAATCAAACGATATTTTTTTACAAGAGTATTATTAACTTCCATACGACCATAAAACTTGATAATACTTTTAACACGTGAAGTGGTTTATTATTCACGAGCCTTATAAGTTATGGTGACCCTGACATAGTGACCCACACTCTAAGTGACCCTTACGTTGAATGACCTCATTACTGACCTCCTACGACAAACAGATAAACACAGGTCACACACACACGCGAGTTTCCATTCAATAATAATAATAATAATAATAATAATAATGCGTGAGTATTAAATGAATGTATGTATGTATGTATGAATGTATGTATGTATGTGTGTATGCAAACCCTACTACAGACACAATACTTAACAACTTCTCACTATAACCTCAGGTTTTATAAAGCCAATAAATATATAAGAAAACTATAACACATTTTTGGTCATATACTCAAGGTGTATAATCCTTTGTCTCTCTTAATTAACCTGTTCAATACCTATACATCAACTACACTACTTCAATAATAAGAATAACGTTATACAGAATATGTGTGTTATGTATTTTTAGCGTATGTTCAGGTTTATTGACTACGGTAGTGCCAGGGCGCCATTTGCCTGACGGACATACGGACACCCTGAAAATATCTCGGGAGTTATGACCCCCAGAACCTCATAACCCTGACACACTCATAAAATTCCTCTCACCGAACTATACACACATACTTTACCCTTACATGCATACTCACACTTTCTCTTCACACATACGTACACCATGTAAGTAGGAAATACATTATTAATATTATTATTATTATTATTATTACTTAAACTCAAGTAAGACATCACGACCTGCATCGTGTGTGTGTGTGTGTGTGTGTGTGTGTGTGTGTGTGTGTGTGTGTCCAGGAATGATCGACAACTCAAAAATATCAGGTGTGCGAAAGTTTTACTGCTTGGCCAACTACTACTCCCCTTGGCCAGGTAGACGGGCATCAAGGGCCACTCTCTCCCTCTAACCCTTGGCCAGGTGGACGGGCATCAAGGGCCACTCTCTTCCTTTAACCCTTGGGCCACTCTCTCCCTCTAACCCTTGGCCAGGTGGACGGGCATCAAGGGCCACTCTCTTCCTTTAACCCAATTTTGTCCTCAGATATGACCCCCAGACACACCTTCCTGTACCTTATATATAGCTTCACCTTCTTCGTCTTCTCCATTTCCTGTTCATTTTCCTCCTACTTCTTCTATTCCTTCTCCTACTCTTCCTTTTCCTCCTCCTCCTCCTCCTCTTCGTTCCCCTCGTACTACTTCTATTCCTTCTCCAATACTAATGTTCCTCCTTCTTTTCCTTCTTGTCCTTCTCCTATTTCTTATATTTCTCCTCCTCTTACTGCTTCTCCCTCACCTCCTTCGCCTCCTCCTCCTACCCCCCTTCTTCCTCATCCTTCTCCTCAAGCCAATTTGATTCTCGAGAAAATATCACCAGAAATTTGTTGTTGCTTTCGTTCCATGAGAAAAAATAAATAAATAAATAAATAAATATATATATTACTGTCTTATAAACACTCGGCCACTGTAACACCTCCCATACCTGATAATTAATTGAAAAGTTATCTTGCATATACAGACACACAAACAACACATACGCACACACACACACACAGACACAAACACACAAAGATTCGGACACAGAACACACATAAACACACACACACAAACACATTCACACAGCACTGGACCTGGCCTCACCCCACCTAACCTAACCAAACCTAACTGGTCATAGTCGAGATTACTAAGAACACAAGGTCAAGCTGGGTCAAGGTTAAGGTCCTTGATGCAAATTGTAAAATAATTTCCTTTATCCAAATTACCTTGAAAATTTATTCCATTTTATGCAGGTCATCATTTCATCTTTTTT